TAATATAAAAAAAATATCTACTTGGTGCATTAATTGATTAAGTCTCGTCTAATCAATTTACAAATTCTCAAATTTTGTATATTAAATATATTTTTTTTCTAGTAAAAAGTATATAATATTCCTTAAAAGAAAATATATAACAAAAATTAAAACCTTTTAAGCTCATTAATAATATTTTTATAACAAAGATTATACAGTCGTGAAATCGATTAAATAAAATAATTCATAATATAATACATTAATAAGAATATGATTTAAAAAAATCTAGTAACTTTATGTTATAAAATATAAATCTAATGTTATAAGTAGGATCTGTATTTTTAGTTAACTTTATGTTGCTTGTTTATTATTGATTTTGGATGTCAAAAGGTTTAATTCTTTTTATACAAACAAAAATTATTATTCAATTATATAAATAAAAGAGCTTTTCAAACATTATTAAATTTAATGTATTTAGTTACTTGAAATTTATGTATTTATAGAAAAAGAAATTGGACATCCCAAAATATTTGTTGAACATGAAAATGATAGTTTTGTTTTTGATGGAAAGCTTGAGTTTATAGGTTTTAAACAGAAATAATAAAGGTGAAAAGTGAGTCTCCTTTGGAAATACAAGAGAAAGAGTTTGTTAAACTGATGTTCCAACCTATTTTATAGATTATACGTTGCAGTGTTTGTTCAGCAAAAGTCAGCCATTTGAGTCACAAGAGCTCTGCAATGTAAATATAACTAATCAGAGTCTCTACAAAACCATAAACCAAACAAAACAGATCAAACTCTTATCAATGTCATACCTAAGATTCAGTTCATAGTCTACAGCCTTTGGACATGTCCTATTATTGGAGACCAATGTAACACGTGTATCATCTGATTCAAAAACCAAAATCAGTTGAAAACTCACTAGCGAAAAAATGACATTTTATAACGTATAAAAATGATATATCATGACGTAGTTATTAAAGACTTAGTTCAAGAAGTTATAACGAGTATGAACATTGTATAACTTATCAAAATTTTACGTCATGAACATAAAAAAAATACTTTTTTCTGGAAAAATAATAACAAAAAAATACTTTTTTTTTCAATAATTTCTGAAATTAAAATAAGAAGTATTCACACTGATTATCGTGATAAATCTCAACTACTTTAATAAACCTTGGACGAACATTCACCTTAAAATTTATAGAAAATAATATAACTATTTAAAAAGTTATATCCAAGAGAATTATTAAATAGTTAAAATATAATTATAATAAGTTATGTATGTAAGTACCTGAAATTGAAGTAAGAGGTTGTTCCATTTTTGAATGTCACGGTGGTCCTCGAGCTTTCTGATTCCTTCACAGTAGCCACCTATGCCATCTCTTTGGTCTTCCTTCTTATTTCTGAATAACTTGATTCGTCTCAAATTTGATACTTTTGGAAAATGCCTGAATTCCACTATCAATGTATCTATCACACAACCATTAATAATAATCATGTTATCTCTTTCATCACAAAATCTATATATTTTTATAACATGGAATCATCTTACGTACCACTGTTTTCACACTCACAACAAGATTCATTGCATGACTCCAAATGCCCAATAACACCGTTAAACCAATCTGCAAATACTTTGATAATTACTTTTTCCACTCTTAAATATAACAAACAAATACTTCTTTAATTACTTTAATTATATTTCGTATTATTTCTTTACCGTAAGGAGATTGTGCATTTGGTCTCAATTGAATCTCAATATGATCCTCTGGTTTCAAGTTTTGTAAAGAGTGAAAGACATGCAGAAGATAAGGAGAAGTTTGAACTGAGGGAGCTCTCACCAAATCCCATTCAATGTTCTTCCCTATAAGTTTCCAACTTTCATTTTGATACCTAACATAACATAATTCATATCCACTTAAATCCTTCACAAAACAATCCTCTTTTATATTCCATATATCTGTAAAAACAATTCATAATGCATTAAATTCACTTACTCAACTTTTTTAAATTTTTACTAAAATCTTTTCCTCTATTCAATTCAAACAAAAATATATGTTCTGATAATATACATGCTATTATTTCGTCTTATTTTTAATTAATGTTTTTAAGTTTGAGAAACTAAAATAATATACTTTTTTCAGTTTATTAAAAGATCCAAAACTCATTTTTGTCTCAAAAATTAGAAACCCAAAGGGAAAATTAGTGTTCATGCATGCATATTTCAAAGAACATTTTGCACATACCTTGCTTGAAAAGTATTAGATTGTGAGTCATAGTTGACCAGGGCATTGTGAATCATCATTCCCTGCAAATACATAATATTCATTATATATAATATAATATAAAAAAATTAGAAAATTTAGACATAAAATCTAGTTAGTTTTTACTTTGTAAACCTGAGCACAGGAAACCAAAACCTACCATTTCTAGATAGAAATACAGACACATAATGAAGTTATGCAAAATAAAAAATTTGTTTGTCACATGATAAATATTTTACCTGTCGTTTATTGAAAAACATTTTACTGATAAAATATAAAAATTTAATTTTAATTTGAGAACAAAAAAATACATATATAACTTTATAAAGAAATATTAGAATATTATTATTTAGACCTGGTTTTTTACCTTGTAGACCTGAGCAGGAAACCAAAAGGTACCAGTGTGTAGAGATAAATACAAAGACATCATGAAGTTGTTTGATTTTGTAGCACTGAGGAACTTGCAATCTTCTAAGTATGAACAAAGACAAATGTTTGGCCAATCACCAATAAAAGAACCCATTGAACCAGTTTGATTTTTCTTCATCAAAACTCCATCTTTGGCAATTTCAATGTGCCATTTCCATTCCTTGTAAACAGCATCAGAAATCAGTCTCCCCCATTTCTCTTTTATGTGATTTTCCCAAAATCTATCACTTTGGCATTTTCTCTTCAACAAAACACATACCTTTGACATTGTCAAAAGATCTTTTGGAGAAAGGCATGTCAGAATGAAATCCAAGATGGATTGAGGCAAATCCAAGAGGGAGATGGGAGGAGGATCTACTTCACTGTTCATCTCCATGTTTAAGATTATTATTAGGCTAATAAGATTTTCTATGACATTAATAATAGGCAAAGATATTATTATTATTATACATACAAGCATAGTCTCTTCAAAATTCAAAGAAGTATAAGTATATATAATATCCAAAAGAGTGATGGTGTAATTTTTTAAGACAATAATAGAATATTTAGATAGAATTTTGAAAAACTTAATTAAGAAAAAATCACGAGTGTGAAAAGTAATTTACTTTAAATAATTGTATGGCGTGCCGGTTTGGTTAACCTTTTTGAAATGACTGGCATTTTTATCTATTTAGGAAAATAAATGTTTAAAATATATAGAATGGTATATCGTGGAACTGAAAGGTTTATATATTAGAGAAGATTGCTACAAGACAAGACCATTAGGAATAAAAGAAATTGTTATGTTATGTATATATCAAACAATGAAAAGTTTATTAGAATTTTTATTTTTACACTATAGAAAGATATATATCTTAGAGAACGATGCCTTGTAAAATCAATGTCAACATTCAAGAGAGGTTTAGCTAAGTTGATGGTCGAGTTAGAACAAAATTTAAAATTTTATAAAAATAATCTAGGAGAAGTTTTTTAGAAAAATAATTCTTGAATATAACTTTTTTTATGTGATAATAAATTGTATCTTTCTATTAATTTAGCTTTTCAAGTTATGGACCAAACACATTTAGTGAAAGAGTTTAATACAATTCAAATCTTGTTGACAATAATGAGGAAATCATGTATACTAAAGATAGGGTTAACAAACTATAACATATTCAATAATAATAAAAAAGATGAGTTATTTTGACTCATCAATTTGGCTATATGATTTATTTTTCATCTATATGGATTTGAACCAGAAAAACTAAAACAATCAAAAAGTTTCTCATAAAAAAAATTTATAGGACCAAAATATCTAGGAAACACGTTGATTAAGGTCAATGTATAAGATTTTTTTTAGAAAAAAAAGAGCTCATTTTAGATACAATAAATTACAACATATTAAATTATTAATCTATCACATGATTAAATTACAACATATTAATTGTCATAATATTATAAAATTACAACATATTAAACTATATATTTATCATTGAATAGATTATAAACAGGTTTAAATTTTATTTATTTTTATTCTTATTAGTTAAATTTAGTATTATTGTTAAAATAGGTTGTAAAATGAAAGTGAAAAAAAAAAAAGTGGATGTGAAAGAATAATAATGTCAAACTGATCTTTTCTTGGCTTTTATAAAAACTTACTATATCTTATTATTATTTAACTTTTTGGTGAAGTTTATTTATTCAATTTCACATTATAATTTTTGTTTAATTAGAATGTAACAGCAACTTCAAACTTTGGTTACAAATTCTCTGCTTTCTTGTATATTGTGGTTGAAGAGATCCTCAATGCTTAATTCTGCCTAGTACCAGCTTTTCTGTCTTTATCTGTTACACACAAACAAATAAACACGGTTATCTTTCTATGTATAATGTGCCTTCATATATATGAACAAATAAGGGTGCTCATATCTTCACACCACAAAACGATAAAATTAATTTAAAATCTTAATATATATTATTATATTATTAAAAAGAATCTTGAATTAATGTATTTTTAAGAAAAGTGTGAAACAATTTTTTTTCCAACAAATAAACAAACTTTACGTCAATTATTTGTGCTCCTTTTGATTAATTCTGCGCGTTAAAAAAATATCACAATTTTATATCATATTATATTTATTTAAATAAAATTAAATATATGAGCAGTAAAATAAAATATCTTATCATTTATTATAAATAATAGTAATTATTTTATAACAAATAAAATGTGTTATCCTAGAAGAAAAGAAAATATTTATTATAAATAAAGTGCGTAATTATATTTTGTAGTAATCTAAACTCACCTTAATCCTGACTCTAACTTAAGAGGAGATTTTGGGGGTTAAAACTTAATTTCAGCCCTACTTAAGAGACTTTTTAAAATGAGGCTTTTTCAAGAGTGGATTAGGAATGACCCATGGGTTATGGGTCAAATTGACAACTCTAATTATTATTAAGATACTATAGCCTATAATACATAATTTTGGATAAAACTGTCATATATATAATTAAAATGTTTTATAAAAAAATCATAATAGGCTACTAACAATAGTCATTCATGATTATAGACTATGGTTTTTTCATTCAAGAATATTTTATTACAATCTTTTTTAAAAAAATATTTTGTTTTAACTCCTACACTCCATTAAGAAACTTGAAAAATTAAATTAAGATTCAATAACAAAAAATAAATCAATATGAATTGAAAAACCTAGGAGCATAGTGACAAAACACTAAAATAACAAACTGTGAACAAAGATAATAAAGAAAAAGTCTTCAAACGAATCTGAACAAAGAACAAAAAAGATATTTAAGCATGATCATGGCGAACCTACAAACCAAAGACAACAAGAGACAAAAATAGAGACAAGGAAGAAAAACTTGAACGCACCTTAGAGAAAGACAATGCGTAAGCAAAATGAGAGAGAATACCCTATTTAAGGGTTTGCAGTGGGAGGAAAAAGTGGTATGCACATGCCAAGTAAAAATGTTGAATCCCCTACACTAGTAAAAAATCTGATTTCTAATTCGCTATATAGGTTTCGGTTTTATCAAAACCGAAGTATATAAATATGCGGTGGCACGTTTGTAATAATAATGAATGTTTATGTCTCGGTTCTAGGACACCCGGAACAGAAAAAGTCTTTTAACTCGGTTATAAAAGAAACCGAAGCATAAAAATCTTTTAGGAAACGCCTATTGCCTCGGTTGAGAAAAAACCGAGTCATAAAATCATGTCAAATCTACTTTTTTGAATCACTATTGCCTCGGGTGGTTGGGAGCTGGTGTCAAAAGGTTATAGGCATCGGGTGGGCTAATAACCGAGGTACTATAACTTCAGAAACTTTCACTTACCCTCTTCATTCTCTTCTTCGCAGCCTCGCGATCTTCTGCTTCCTCTGCCGTTCTCCTTCTTCTTTCTTCCGTTCTCCTTCTTCTTCCTTGTGCAAGAGCCATTCTTCATCTTCCTTGAGGCCATTGGTGCTTCATCTTCCTTGCGGGTCATTTCCATTGTCGCGCGGGCCATTTTCGCCACCTCGCGGGCCATTGTTGCCGCCTCTGCCTCGTCGCTGCTACCAACATCTTCGTCGGCCGTGCAATCGCCTTCGCCTCCGCCTCACTCGTAGCACCTCTGCCTTTGTCGTCGCGCCTCTGCCATCGCGCCTCTGTCGTTGCGCCTCTACCGTCGCTGTTGCCTCTGCCGGAAATAGGGTTTCATCCGCCGCTCCAAATCGCGACCTCTGCGTCGCGGGTTCCTCCACCACTTCCACGGCTCGCCTTGCCACCGTCACTGCTTCCTCTGCCTCTGCCTCCGACATTGCTCCAGATCGCGAAGCCCAAATCGCGAAGCCCAAATCGCGAAGCCCTAAATCAGCGTNTCGACAGACGCCCATAAAATCAGCGTTCAAACTCGCGCGAGTTCTTCTACATAAGAATAGGCCAACCATAGGCGTTTGATACAGCCACGGCAGAGAGTGGGTCGACTACGCCTAGGCAACCATCGCTCGTTTCTCCCCCAACGGCGACTGGGACGCCTCCGCCTCCGGTACCGTCACGATCTGGAGCACGCGAAACGATCTTCAGTCGCGACGGCCTCCGCGAAACTTCTGTTTTGTGAGATGTTTTGTTTGATTTGTATACTGGACTATGAAAGCTCTTTGTTGTTAATTGTGGTTTGCTTGTGAACTCGAAATGTTCATTGTGTGTTTTTGCTTACTCGTTTGTTGATGATGTTTTGGTTTTGATGATGTTGTATACTGGACTATGAAGCTTATCTGTTGCTCATTGTTGTTTTGTGTGAACTCCGAAAGTTTATTGTTGTTTTTGCTGTGAATCCTGAAAAAGGCTGGAGGCTGAGGAAGGTTGGCCACGGTTGAGGACGCGGCTGAAAAAAAAATACGTTACTGCCTCGGTACCTGAAAACCGAGGCATAATTCTATTCTTTTTGACTCGACCAATAACCGAGGCATAAAACTTACTATTTTTTATCTCGTTTGTATACGCCTCGGTTGTAGAACCGGGGCCTGTAAAGAAAAGGAACCGGTGCCATTAGCAGTTACTGTACTAGTGCTAATTGCATCACTTTGAATGAACTTGCGAGCAAATGAATTTCTTCACAACGTCATTCCAAATGAACATCAAAACATTACAAACAAAAAATGGAAGGAAGAATTCTCATTTGGATTATTCATAAAAAATTCTCCTTCAAGAATGACTCCCTTTTATATTGGTATATTTCCTTTCGAATGTTCAGAGTGACAAAGGTCAATCCACAGACTCACTAGAAAAAGTGCAGGATGGATTGAGTATTTTAATTACTAACTCGCTTAGGCTCACGCAACATAATCAACAAACACGTGTTGGACCAATATCGCGTTGGTCCAAATTTAGCTCGCATTGACTTAATTCCTAAAATCTAAGTAGCACCAACCAACACTTCATGTGTGGTTTTTCCTAAACAAATTGCATATTCAACTTTTCTTCTTCATTCATCCAAAAGTAGTTCAGTCATTCGTGTCTAATATATCTAAAAACAAATTTCTCATTCGCATTTCAACCATGTTCAAAGTCATTTCGATTTTATACTTAAAAATTATAAATTATAAAATTATAAATATGACTTAAGACATGAACTTATGGAAAATATTACTTTTAAAATTTTAATTAAATAAAAATAAAGTGTAGAAAACTAAAAACAAGTAAAAATTCGAACATATAAAATGCCGGTAATCCGAGCTGCAGAAAAAAGCTATTATTGCCCCCAAAAATGGTGAATACAACCAAAATATCATTAAGAATCTCATACTGACCAAAAACATGGCAGGCAACAGGGGTTGGAAAATACCGCCCAAAGAGAGAGTGTACCCACTAAAAAAAAAAGTTTTTGTAATGGTAGTA